GTACATTTCAGCTACATTTTTACAACTTTAGTACACCTCAGAGAATTATTGTCAAACAAGAATGAATCTAAAAGGGCATTTGATGTCGCTGCTAACAATGTCAAAGTTATGTACTGATCATGACAGTGTATCGTGTCACAGTCCTTTCCTATCAAAGAAGCAAGCAAAGACTGAAAGATCAAGTAGTAGTCTTCTAAATTGTGTCCACAACATTCTCAGTTAAAAGACAAATTAGACAATGTAAACTGATTAAATCACTAACAACAGGCCCAAGGGCCTTGAATCGCTCTTCTGATAAATTGTACAATCTATCACTTCTATTAGAAGCCTCCAACTCTATTAGTATCATAAGACCCAAAATGCATCAACTTACAAAGTTTGATAATATTTAGCCAGTTAAGACTGAAGATATTATAATATAATTATCAAATACCATAAGTAGGTCAAAGTGACCTACCTTTTGATTGGAATTTTCTGAGGACTCAAGATACATTAATTGACAAAGACTGATGATTCTAATTAAATAAGTACCTGAGATATTCAAAAGTAGGTCACCATGACCTACTTTTTGGTCAACATTCTCTGAAAACCCAAGATGCATCATCTGACAAAGTTTGACAATTCTAAGCCAATTAGTTCCAGAAATAATTAAATATAGCCACCAAATGTCAAAAGTAGGTCACAGTGACCTACTTTTTGGACGACGTTATCCAAACATCCAAGATGCCTAAACTGAGAAAATTTGCTGATTCTAAGCCAATAAGTACCTGAGATATTCAAAAGTAGGTCACCGTGACCTACATCTTGTTGGACATTCAATAAAACCGTAAGATGCCTCAACTGACAAAGTTTGATGATTCCGAGCCAATAAGTACCAGATATAATCAAATATAGCCAAAAAATGTCAAAAGTAGGTTACAGTGACCTACTTTTTGGTCGACGTTCTCCGAAAACCCAAAGTGCCTAAACTGACAAAGTTTGATGATTCTAAGCTAATACGTACCTGAGATATTCAAAAGTAGGTCACTGTTACCTACTTTTTGTCGACATTCTCCGAAAACCCAAGATGCATCATCTGACAAAGTTTGATGATTTTAGGTCAATAAGTACCAGAGATACTTAATTATAGCCACAAAATGTCAAAAGTAGGTCACAATGACCTACTTTTTGGTCGTCACTCTCAGAAAACCCATGATGCATCAACTCACAAAGTTTGATGATTCTAAGCCAATAAGTACCGGAGATACTTAATTATAGCCACAAAATGTCAAAAGTAGGTCACTATGACATACTTTTTGGTCGTCACTCTCCGAAAACCCAAGATGCATCAACTCACAAAGTTTGATGATTCTAAGCCAATAAGTACCAAAGATACTTAAATAAAGCCATAAAATGTCAAAAGTAGGTCACCATGACCTACTTTTTGGTCATCACTCTCCGAAAACTAAATATGCATCCACTCACAAAGTTTGATGATTCTAAGCCAATAAATGCCTAAGATACTGAAATATAGCCATAAAATGTCGAAAGTAGGTCATCGTGACCTACATTTGGTTGACATTTTTCAAAGACCCAAGATGCATCTACTGACCAAGTTTGATGATCGTAGGTCTGAAGGTAATCAAAATATGCATTTTAAACAATTTGAAAACAAATGTCGGCAAAATTTAAAAAGTAGGTCACAGTGACCTACTTTCTTATAAATATGTTTTAAGGTCCCTAGATGCATCAAAGTACAAAATTTGATGATTCTAAACCTCCCAGTGTCTGAAATAATGGGATTTAATGTTTTTAAAAGGATAAGTCATAAAGTTCAAAAAGTAGGTCACAGTGACCTACTTTTAAGTTGACATTGTTCAAGGACCCAAGATGCATCAACTGACAAAGTTTGATGATCATAGGCCTTAAAGTGTCCAAAATATGCCTTCAAATCAATTTGAAAACAAATCCTCGCAAAATTTAAAAAGTAGGTCACCGTGACCTACTTTTGAGTTAACATGATGTAAAGTCGTAAGATGCATCAACTTACAAGATTTGATGATTCTAGTCCTTATAGTAAGAAAAATATACACGTTTTTATTAATTGTAAATTTAGGTCAACTTTGAAGTGACCTTGAGACCACGCCCTTTGCCCCAGGGTCATGCCTTGAACAATTTTTAATCTTCAACATATCCTGATCCTTGTATGTAAGTTTGGTGAAAATCTGCCTGGTGGTTCTGGAGAAGAAGATTTTTTAGCAACCAGTACTTTTGGTTTTGTTTTCCTGATTATCTCCCCTTGTTTTAGGGTCCCAACCCTTATTTTAGTACAAATGGTAGCCCTTGGGCCAAGGATACCCTGTGATAAATTTGGTACTGATTGGCCAAGGGGTTCTTGAGTTATGGCCCATATTCTAAAAAGTTAACGCACACCGCACACCGCACAAATGGCCATAGCATTAGCTCTTTGAGCCTTTGGCTCAGAAGAGCTAAAAATGTACATATAAATACATCTTACACATTCAACCTAATGTTTAAAGTTACAACATCTTCATTTTTCCCCTAACAGATTTTATTTGCTTGATTGTTCTCATGACTGTCCTTTAGTCAAAACTGGTCAACAAAATAAATCTATCCTTTTGCATTCTCCCTATGCTCACCACTTTAGGACCCTATTGAATACTGTGTGATATCTAAATGCGAGAATCTTCCACAAAATTAACTTGAAGAGGTTGTGCTTCCAGTTTAACCTTTGTTTTGTTTTGTATTAGGTTTAATAGATGTATGTCCTACAATTTTTATTATATTATACCCTCCTCAATGGATTTGGAGGGGATATAGTAAGGCAATCGTTTAATTTCTTGGAATTTGTGAGTTGAAGCACTGTACAAAAACAGAGGTGAAGCATAACTTTGCATTAGGATTCATTTCAAATGCTGTCTTAATTCATAGCTATGCTCTTTGTGAGGGGATGCTCCACTTTGCGGTGCCCTTGTTAAAATAAGAATCTATGAGCCTGAAATGTCAAATGGAACTCGTCTAAAAGATCATTTACAACAATATAAGAAACTAAAGAAAAAATATGCATATTCCCTACAATTGATTTTGCTAGGATGAAGTTTAAACCCATCAAGTTTGAGGCATTATATAAAAATTGCATTCCTTCTTGGTCTCATACAGAATCATACAGATGCTTGTTGGACAAGTCATTCACTGTTGTGCGATAATTAACTCATCCATTGCTTACAGTGAAACACCCAAACAAGACTACAGCAATACTGGATGCAATCTTTACCCCAGAGTTATCGTTCCACTTATATGTATGTTGTAGCGAAGCGAATAACAACTCTGGGTAGAAATTGTACTGGATGGTGAAACAAAATTAATCTTGATATCATAATCTCATTATCATTTACAGGTAGCATTTAGTTATTCTTGAATGCATCATTTTATCCTAGTAATGTATTTCAGTTTAATAAAACGGTAAAAATGAAGCTGGTCATACTTGAATAATATTCTTATCAGATTTAATTGATGTTCAATTTCAAAACAAGCCTCTCTGCTTCATAATTTACAAAGGTCTACACATTAATAATTTGCAGGCAGGTTTAATTTATAGAAAAAGAAATATGAAAGTTAAAATATTCTCATATGAAAGTGCAGTGGTGTCAACTTTATTTGTAAGAAGTTCAATTTAAAAAAAAATGATCCAAAAAGTTTGAAACTTATCACATATGTTTGGATTTGTCTTTGATGGTATTTTAAGAGCACCAAGAATATCCTGAGAAATTAATACAATTTATGTTAAGAAACTAACTTGAACTCTCTGGATTCTTCACACAGAAATTAATTTCTTGACTGAGATTTCTGTTAATTATACTGAATTTGATTTTTCATGATCCTCAGAAAAATAATTCAGATGCTCACGTAAGACAAGCCAATACTTGTAATGCTCTAGAAGGAACAGAAACATGCTGTAGGCATCTCGACCCCAATTCCTCCTCTTCCTTCTCCGTACAAAGTTACAGATAAACATGAGCGATTCAAAAAATACAGGAATTATCAATGGAAAAGAATTCTTCTGAGTAAGAGGATGCACTAGCATAGCCCCCCTGCCAAGATCTATATCAGCTAACAACAGGTGCCACGCAATAAACAAAATGGCAACATTTAACACATTTAAGTGCAAACCCATCATTTCTTTTTTGACTTAGCCTCTTTTTACTTTTTGTTTGAAAGACGTTTTTAAAAGAACACTTTGTGTTTGTGATCTAATATTAGTTCCTCTCAAACACTGCTAATTTATCATTATCATACCTTTGCCTTTTGCAACTGTTCTAAGGCAAGTCTTTTAGTCTCGGCTTGCAGTGCACTCCGTTCCTCATTTTCGGAAGCATCTGGGGTTGTTTGACTAATGGAGTCTGCAGATTCCTAGAAAAAAAAAGAGAAAATTTCCTGAGTTACTTACTGGAAAAAAGGACAGCAACACAAACCACTACAAAATATCTTAAATTCTCATCAACACTGATCAAAAGCATGGTTATAATGCATTGATAAAATCACAAACAGTGCATTCAGACACACAGTACTTGTCAAGATCAATGCATACTTGATGCCCTTCCAATTGCACATGCATAATCAAAATCAATTGTCCTCACTATGCACTTACCAAGGAAATGGAGGAAGAACTAAGTAAGAGATTGTACTGTTCCTGTGACTGGCTTCCCACAGCCACCATGATCTCAAAATACTGTCTTGTTAGACCCTCACCCACCGATCTTATAAACCCAATAACCACTTCATTTGCACAAACTTCGTTTTCTGTTTCCAATCATATTATTTTTTTTTTGATATATGACCTAGGCCAGGCTTCGACTTCCTAGATGACACACTTTCCGGGAAGCGAGTTAATCTGAAACCTTAGTTCGAATCAATATCCATGCATACTCGATAACTAAGGTCCCGGAGTAAGACTCGCTAGGATAGAGATATCACCAGGTCTCTAATGATCTCACGAAGAACTTACTAATAAACTCTACAATTCCTGAACCATTAAATAATTTTTGGCCACAAAGTTCTTTGTCTTTTGTCAAAAAGAAAAAAATGTGTACGGCACAAATGATGTCCTATCGTCCCGTTCCCCAACTGAATTTTTTGTAAAACACATTAAAAAAAGATATCTGTCACATGACCGTGCATCAATATGGCTTCTGATAGAAAAACACAACAAATGTCTGTACTGAAACAAGGGAAGCTTTTGCAGCAATACCGCATGCACTACTGCATTATGGCCTAAAAAATCAATATGTCTGTGACTGCCCTACTCTCTTACTGATCAATACCGACTAAAAGGAGCAATTACTCATTACCTATGTTACTGACAAAGAGATTCACCCTAATTTACTTGGAAGGATAAACAATCATATCAAAAGAAACCCGACAGATTTAGGAAGAATATCCTAAGCACATATAGGGGCTCGCTATGAGGCAATACAGAATAGACTACAAGGTTTGATTTCAGTTTGATTAACTCCTATGAATATTTTATAAATCTGCTCCTTGTGTAATAGCTTGGAATCAATAATTCACAAATGTGTGTCACTGCTACAACCATACAAAACAAAACACTTGCGAAACGATAATTCCAAATTTCCCTATACTTCATGAATTATACCATGTCGTAATACTAAAAAATTCAAAACTGCCATTGTTTTTTCCCACTGAAGGGGACGGAAATTTCTACTTAATGGTAATGGCCATTTGAATTCAAATTCAGACAAAAACGTGAAGAAAAAAATGCATGCAATATTCTGAAGATAGAAAAAAATAATACATTCATAAATAATTTTCAGCCTGATCTTGATGGATGGAGTGCATCCCATCTTAATGACGTGCCAATCAATTCCGAGAGGCTTCTGCATTTCATTCAAAAGAGTGCAAATTCCTCTTTGCTGTCTGCAGTCTATACATTCTGCAGGATAGGCTTGTCAGCCAGGAGCCTGCGAGAGAGGCAACAATTTTTTTTTCATGCTTCTGAATGAGATGATGATGAGATATAGGGAGACATAAACAATCTCTCAAACAAAGCAGACTGCCTGTCGGTCGCATCTTAATCCAGCCTTTACTGGAAACTCATAAACAATCCTCCATTCAGCGGAAAAACAAAAAGATCCCATCACAAAAATAATCCACAGTGTACAATTCCTTGTGCTCATCATGTCAACAACATTTCAACAATATTATCTTTGCCATAAATAGCAGTAAGTTGTTATTGTAATCAATACTAAATTCTGTTTCTGAAAGAAAAACATTTTTATTGCTGTTGGGAAAATGTGTTAATCAGTCTGGTTACCATACATGCATATTGTTGAAATACAACATGAGATTTATTATTGTGACCACTACGTCAGACATTTTTTTTAGCATAATTAACATAGGGTCAGAGTGTCTTGACCAACATACTAAATCCTCGGAAAATTTTAGTTCTTAGATTACCTTAGAATAAACAATTTAAGTCACTTTCTAAGGTGGATTTTTGTCAAATATGACACATTTCAAGCAGTGCACTAATCTCAGGGCATTCTCAAGTACTACAGTGTACTAGTTAGTAAATGCACAAAAGTTAAACACATTACGTAGCTAGTTACATATAAACGAACACTGCAAAGTCTCAGAAATGTAATATTTTAAGCATTAAATTATTACATTCATGACTTATTTAACATTAATACAATATTGTAAATTGCTACTGTTTAATTAAACACTGTCAAAACCTGATCTCTTCTTTGACATTGACTTTTGACCCTTCTACCATAAATTTCTATTTTCCCTGACAACTAATGGTAGCTTGGCAGCAAGTACAAGACTAAAATTTAACCTCTGTCTCTCACACAGCTACACAAGTTGACATCATACTTTCTCCAGGATAGTTTGAAAAGAAGCCATATTCATGTCATAAGTACTTCATCATAATAATAATAATGATTCTGCATCTGGAAAATTTCTGTTAAAGCCATTCCCAAGATATAAGAATGTCCTCCTGACATGTTTATATCTCTCATATGTTCTCATTTATACAAATGTTCCTAAATATTAGGGGAAAAATTACACCATGCATAATTTGCAAAAAACAATTAATCTATTCAGACTACTCTGTTTAGCTTTTAGCAATTTCCAGTAAAATATTACCATCAAGGAATCTACATCACTATTGTGTTTCCTGATTCGACCCATCAGAAGAAGTTCTTCATTGGATACCAGCTTCCTAATATTGCCTGATCATTCTTCAACCAGCTTAGGGTATCCACAAACATTCATCATGTGTAGATATATCAGTTCAAACCCTTCACCACTCTCCTCACTAGCATTCCATCAAAACCAGTATAAAATCCCAATTGCCTCTTATTGACGGGCAGGACATGCCTACCACTGCCTAAAGCCTAACTATAATCATCTATTTAACTTGCATTCATCATTAATCCAAACAAGGATATTTCAAAACTCTATAAAAACAAGCTTATAATGAACGGGAATAATGGATGCTCCAAAATGGCTTCTGAATCTAGGCTTAAATGCAGATTTCAATACAATATGGAGGCCTCTGTTCAGCAGCAATGGAAAAATCAATAAATACTATATTTCATGGACAAAAATTCTACAATTGTACCTCCAAGTATGGAGAGTTCCAATAAACTTGGAATGTCTGTAAAACAAAGGAGAGTACCTCACATTGGAGTAGAAAGCCTACAATCCTAGTGTAAACAAAACAGTCATAAAACATGAAAGTGAATAAGCTGAGTATAAAGGGTTTAAAACCTCAAAGCATGACCATGCAGAAAAGAACAAGTGCTTAAAGGCCTAAGTTGTATTGTAAAACTTCGATTCATCATTTAGAACAGCTAAATATGGCTGTGTCCTGATCATATATACATGACTACAAAAATAAAATAATTAATGTCACATAACAAAAACAACTTTCATTAAAAAGAATCAGTTTTATGGGGTCCCTATTATACTGATACTGAAATAACATCAACTTTTGAAATGCATTACCATTACCTATCTATAGGAATTCTCTCTCAATCAAATTGATCTTACTTACTGTTATCAATGTCTTTTTTTATTTATTATAGTTTGCAGCTAACTGTAAAGTTTCACGTTACGTCATGACCTTTTTCGTCAGATGCATCCAGCATAAACAATTCACATGATTGGTCAACTCAAATTATCAACATTGACACGGAAATAGTCTGTTGCACAAGCAAACCAATCAGGGATAAGAAGAAAGTTCCAGTAGTAAAGCTTGTGGTTAGGAGGCATGTACAATTTACTTTGAGCACAACTGTCAACTAGATCATGACGTAATGCGAAACTTTACAGTTAGCTGCAAACTATAACATTTACTTTTGGGAAGGGGGGTGGGGGGTGGTTAAGTCATCTTCAAGAATTATTGAGAAGCTGTTGGTATGAGATAAACATTAAAAATTTATGCATCTATCAGATCTGCCTTTAAAAGATCTTATAAATTGCACAAAATTTTTCCAGAACTATTCCAAAACTTGATACAAATGCTAAATGCTTATACCTGGTATACATGTATTAGGGATATATTTTTATACCAGGTATAAACATTAAGCATTTGTACAGTGCATGCATTAGTCATCTTTATGTTTTTAACTTCCCCCACATATATAATACAATATATATAGATTATAGATTTGTAACATTTGACCACCTGTGATGCCATTGAAAAATTTATATTTATCTTCCCACCTAGGAAAAAAAGGGTGTATAGTTACTGAGTGTGAGAGCAGGGCATCATTTGACATTTTTATCAATAAATTTCATTAAATGTTTAAGGCACATATTCCTACTAGTAAATTTTTGTAAACTTCATTTTTTTTTCTGTGTGAACATCACTCCATAGTTGAAACAAAACCCCCAAATTTCTGCACCTTAAACAGCATGGTGTAATGTCATATGTATATGAGAGATTAAACAGTGCAAAATACCCATGAACATTCAAAACAGAGTTATGTAATTTGGACGAGACTCTAATGATGTTACCATTGTTGTTTATAATGCAGAAAAAAGTTTATTTGTGTTATTTATCCTTAAATTCATCTCCAAACAATGAAATCAACTTGTTATAAAAAGGTATAAAAATTGCACTAATGAACAGTTTAATTTGATTGGCAGTTGACAAGAAATCGAAAATTTCAAATAATTTACTACACCAAACTGAGATATTTTTTCCCCAATTTAAATGACAATCAACAATTTACTATCAACTTCAAGTATAAAAGGAATTCAATACTGAATAGTTAAAAAAAAAATTGGCAAATTCAAACAATTAAACGGAAGGGAAATGAGCAGAGACAGCAACCAATAACTTCTACATGCAGCCAAGTATAGAAAACATCAATATACTTTTTAATCTTTCACGTCAAGTAACATGTAATTTGTACCTTGACCATTTCTCAGAGTTGTCTTTCTTTAATTGCAAATAGGAAATTATTACCAAAACCCATCAATGTTTTACATTTGCAGAAAAAAATTTCCCTTCTCTCTCAAAAGTGCACAAGTATATAAAGTACACCGCAAAGAAATTTATAATTTAAAAAATTAGAAAGCAAGTCAGTGAAAAGTCAATTCATGCAGCATATCCCACACAAGTCATATCATATTATATTCCACCGTATTAAGTAATATATGATTTATTAAAGAAATATATATATGTATAAATATAAATGTATCAATATCATGCATGGTGTGTGTACAAGCACAGACTTACAAAGCTTCTCTCGGTTTTGGTGAAGGTATTTTTCTTTGGCCTGTGTTTGTCTTGCGCCATTTGTCTACTCTTATATCCTCAGTTCATCCACACGAAGAAAACTTCAATCAAAATACAGATATTTCAGAAAACAACTCCATACACACACAAACATTACACCATAAAAGGGGTGGATTTATTTTTCACAGAGCTTACAATTAAAGCAAATTCCTTTTTTATGTGCTATACTCCAATAAAGTTTTAATCCACACCTGTTTTATAAAGCCTTCCAGATATATAAACGTTTACATTCCTCTGATATATAATATTTTTTTTATTTTCACTCTGAATGAATCGGCATAAACAACATCATCATCCGATTTTAAGCTGGGAAACACTTGTCCTATATATATATTTTTCTTTTTCACCACTTTACAGGATTTCACCAGCTCAGTATTTTGGCTGGATGTGAAGATAATATTATCACTGCCGATACCACGGTGGCACCCATCCAGATACACACAGTATTTTGTAAGGCACCAATCCTTTGCCTGAGAATGCAGAGGCAGCGTGTTACAGGGATCATCCTAAAAATTGTTTTATCTACCACTGGGGGTCATCTCAAAGGTAACCTAGCTCCCTTGAGCCTGCGTTAATGAATACACCATGACACTAAACATATGTTATTCATATTAACATTTATCCATCAATATTTTATGCTGGAAAACTTAATATGGAGATTGGGGCTTCATTCTTGACATTTTTTATCTATCAAACGCAAACCATCACGTTTATAATATTGATTTCTATATCAAGTTTTGAAAGTTTGCATGATTGTATACATTTTGTACAATACATATTAAAAGTACGCATATATATATATATTTACTTTCTACATTGTCCTATTTTTTTTCAAAAATAAGACAAGTATTTGTTTTTTTTTTAAATTGCACATTACAACATCATGGATCAAAATCACTTAAATCAGGGCTTATCTATATATTTTTATCTTATTAATAATTATTGTTTCATTATTACATAATATATTATATGTATATACATTGTTGAAGCAAATCTTGAAATCATTTTTTTTTTTTTTTAATACAAAATATACATTTAAAAGTATAAAACAGATCACCAACACTAAGTGAGAATGCAGCAGTAAATTTATTTTGTTGACCGGTTTCGACCTGTGACGGTCGTCATCAGAACAAGTAAGCATGTAAATTTATCTACTGAAGTAAAAAATGCGGATGACGTTGCTCTATATACAAAAAATGCGGATGACGTTGCTATATACAAAACAAGAGGCCCACGGGCCTTATAGGTCACCTGAGCATTCTGCAACAACTTTCCAGTTATTGAATTTGATTCATGTTTTAAGCCAGATGCTATATGGCATTCACAATTTTGAAAGAGGCACCATTGATCATCATAACAATACACTTAGCAGTTGCTTAGCTTGGTTTATTGATTTAAATATGCCCAATAATAAGTTCATAGGATCTTCATGAACGTTTCATGAACATTTCATGAATAAAATTCATGAAAAATTCAAGGTAATTCATGAATTATTCATGATCACCTCGCAGGGGTACTGAATACCCATACGCAAGGTAGGGGAAAAAAAATGCATTCCAACTAATCAGTAATATTCAGCAATAATCAGTAATGCCCCTAACACTGTGAAATAAACCCCTGACCCTAGGTCCACACATTGCACAAATTTTAAAAAGGCACCGTTAAAATTGCCTATCAAAAAATAAATAAATGTTTTACAAATACAAAGGAGCAGATTTCAAACAATTAATTCATTTTCAGTATATAAGTAGAGCCCCACATCCACCCCTGACCCTGGGGCCTTGAAATTCAAAATTTTGCAAGATTAGGGCCCTTGCTCATCATAACTATTTAGGTAGTTCATCTGCTTCATACCCAGAGACAGAGAAGAAAATTTTCAAAGATTTAATGTATATTCACTATATAATCAATATCGCCCCCCCCCCCACCCCCACACACCATAACCCCTGACCCTGGGACCATAAAATTCACATTTTGGTAGAGGCACTCTTGCTCATCATAACTATGTACTTAGTTAGTTTATTTAATACCTAGGAGCAGAGAAGAAGATTTCAAAGAATTTATGTATTTTTACTATATAATCAATAGAGCCCCACCCTAACACCAGAACCCCTGACCCTGGGACCATAAAATTCACAATTTTGGTAAAAGCACTCTTGCTCATCTTAACTATGCACTTCGTTAGTTTATTTAATACCTAGGAGCAGAGAAGAAGATTTTCAAAGAATTCATGTATTTTTACAATATAATCTATAGAGCCCCCCACCCCCCCAACACCAGAAGCCTTGACCCAGGGACCATAAAATTATTCACAATTTTGGTAGAGGCACTCTTGCTCATCATAACTATGCACTTAGTTAGTTTATTTAATACCTAGGAGCATAGAAGGAGATTTTCAAAGAATTTGTGTATTTTCACTATATAATCAATAGAGCCCCCCCCCCCCCCCAACACCAGAACTCTTGGCCCTGGGGCCATAAAATTCACAATTTTGGTAGAGGCACTCATGCTCATCATAACTATGCATTTAGTTAGTTTATTTAATACCTAGGAGCATAGAAGAAGATTTTCAAAGAATTTGTGTATTTTCACTATATAATCAATAGAGCCCCCCCCCCTCCCCCCAACACCAGAACTCTTGGCCCTGGGGCCATAAAATTCACAATTTTGGTAGAGGCACTCATGCTCATCATAACTATGCACTTAGTTAATTTATTTATATCTAGGAGCAGAGAAGAAGATTTTCAAAGAATTCATGTATTTTTACTATATAATCTATAGAGCCCCCCCCCCCTACCAGAACCCTTGACCCTGGGGCCATAAAATTCACAATTTTGATAGAGGCACTCATGCTCATCATAACTATGCACTTAGTTAATTTATTTAATATCTAGGAGCAGAGAAGAAGATTTTCAAAGAATTCATGTATTTTTACTATATAATCTATAAAGCCCCCCCCCTACCAAAACCCCTGACCCTGGGGCCATAAAATTCACAATTTTGATAAAGGCACTCTTGCTCATCATAACTATGCACTTAGTTAGTTTATTTAATACCCAGGGGCAGAGAAGAAGATTTTCAAAGAAATCATGTATTTTCAATGTATATAATCAAGAGAGCCCCGCCCTAACACCAGAACCCCTGACCCTGGGACCATAAAATTCACAATTTTGGTAGAAGCACTCTTGCTCATCATAACTAACTACTTAGTTGGTTTATTTAATACCCAGGAGCAGAGAAGAAGATTTTCAAAGAAATAATGCATTATCACTACCTACTTATTTAGCCCTGCCCTAGCACTAGAACCCCTGACCCCAGGGCCATGAATTTCACAATTTTGGTAGAGGACTCAATGCTGATTACAATCATGCAAACAGTTTGACTGCTTGATGTCCAGGAGTAAAGAAGAAGATTTTCAAAGATTGCATTAATTTTAGTGGTTTTGGCCCCACCCCTCAGGCCCCAGGGGGGCAGGGATCATGAAATTCACAATTTTTGTTCCCTTTCACCCATAGATGCTTTGTGCCAAATTTGGTTGAAATTGGTTCAGTGGTTGCAGAGAAGAAGCTGAAAATGTTCGAAAGTTTACGAACGACGTACGACGTACGACGTACGACGTACGACGAACGACGACGGACGAAAACAGATAGCAATAGGTCACCTGAGTTTACTCAGGTGACCTAATAAAATGCGGAGTGTTTCGTACATATGCGGACTTACTTAACAGTGGTACTTTATACAAGATATAATCAATTTACATTTCCTCTAAAGTTTTTCTGACTTAAGATTTAGTCAGTAGATAACATTATTGTTTTATAATTAATAAAATCGTCCATAAATTGTGTGGATTGTTATTCTTCTGTTACATCATCAAGCTGTTTCGGTAGACTGTGACGTCACAATGGAAAAAAATACGGAGGTTTTGTACATGTATATAGAGTACGTAAAATTATACAAGTGGACATTAGATTACATTTCCTATAAATGTTGGGATAACATAAAATGTAGTTAGGTTTCATAAATTTCTACTTCTGAATAGTCCTATTTTATGGAGGACAATAATTGTTCATAAAATTACATTAAAATAATTAACATGTATAAATATAAACAAAGATAATTTCTATAGAATGTTCAAAAGTTCATTGTAGTTTTATGAGGAAATTCGTTCAGACGAAACGTGAAGGTATGTAGATCCTCGCTACAATTCGTCCATTACATAAGAGGGGGGTGTAGATAACAATTACTGGGATTTTTTATTGACCTTGAATGCTTTTGTTGATTCCTTATCGGCTTCCTTCTTCTTCATAAAGTTCGGGATTGCACTTAATAGATTGTTTATATGTTCCATTTCGTTAGTATTTTCTTTGTTTTTAAGCTGGGATTTTAAATCAAGTATTTGTGTATTAATCGTATTAATTCTCGTATTCCAATATTCATAAAGTAAATGGATGAGGCTGCGGCTAAAATTAAGGTGTGCTTCCTCCCAGTTTAGGAGAAATAAAGCATTACTGTCTGGAATTTGTGGAACAATTTTGGCTCTTAGTGTTTTAGGTATTAGGTCCTGTTGTTGGCATTTATTCAGGTATGCGGCATGACCTTCAGTTCTTTGGAGTTTGATATGAAGTTTTCGGAGTGTCCTAAAAATGGCAACATTTTCTTCTGATATTTTCGGTTTCTCGGAAGATCCCACTGGATCGGGAGTTGCAATAGAGGTTTCTTTCCTTGCTGTTTCTTGTTGAGATTTGTTAATTGTTTCTGAATATTCTATATCTGTATCGGATTGTGAAGAATTGCGGAATCTTTTTTTGGGGTTACTGATGTCTACCTTGAGAGATTCATTCACTTTCTGGTTATATGATTCTTTTAACTTTGGAATGGAGTTGGTGGCCATAATGTATAGCGCAGTTCGGAATGGTGGATACCTTATGGTATGCAGGGGTCCCAGTAACAATGTAGAATACAAAACAAAGAAAAGCTGGAGACCAACACCTTGAGGTTAAAATTGCAGAAGATTCTCACGTGTGGATACCGAAAGGTATTC